TGCAGCCACGCTGAGAGGTGGTTAGATCACACGGATTCTGCTTTCACAAATAGACCGTCATTATCAAGGTGGTAGGGTCCTTGTTATGAGAGTACACTCATTATAAAGCAGATGTAACCCCACTTATCACCCTTGTCCAGTCTCAAGCTCTCATTTTCCACCTTGAGATGGCACAGAAAGGAGGCCCTTGCTGGATGCTGGCACCATGATCTTGGGCTTTCAGCTTCTGGAGCTAGGAAAGAATATGTCTGTGTTGTCATACAATCTGTGGTACTTAATGTAGCCCCTGGCAAACATGTACATGAACTGCTGAGTGGGCCACACTGTCTCTTTGAGCACTGTGCTGGATGGGGAGAAGGGGCAGGTGCTGGGGTAGGAGAGGACTATAGCTACATGGGTGAGGACCATAGATGTCTGCGAGAGGGAGGGTCAGGAGCAGGGGGCAGGGAGGCGGATGCAGACATCTCTAGATTGCAGCAGAGTGGAGAGAGGATTTGATGACAGTCAGATGTAGGGCTCGCCATGGATGACCCTAAGTTTCTGTGTGAGCAATGCTAGGTATGAACCTGCCTTTAATCGAGTAAGAAAAGACTTCTGTAAAAGCACAGTCCCTTGAGGATCTTTCTAGAATCCCCTCATAACCCACTTCATTTTGCCCATTTTGGCATCAGGAAATGAGAGCACAGAGAGCATCAAATGGATTGACCTCAGAAAAAGTCAGAGGCTGGCTGAAATCGAAAGTCCAAGTTCTAGAATGAATACCAATTAGACTGCAGAGCTTACTGTAGAGAGTAAAAATAATAATAACAAAAAACCCTGCATAACATTTGAAATAGTAAAATGTCACTTTTCAAAAAGATGTAAATTACTCGTTTTGGAGAGAAATAAAGACCATGTAATTCAAGGAAACTGGTGTGTGCATACACGTACCACACACACACACACACACACACACACACACACACACACACACACACATACCCCCCCTATAAGAGACAGAGGAAAAAAAAGACAGGACAAACAAGATGGGATCAAATCCATTTGCAATGTGCCTTTTAGAGGCACTGAAGAAAAATTTTATGTGCTATATAATTTTGCTTAATGCTTACTGCCATTTATTGGACATTTATGGCATGTTGCACAATGATCTGACTGTTTAGGACTGATTCAATCATTTGATCTTCACAAAGAGCCCTAATAAAGCTGGTCTGCTAGTGTTATCCTTGTTTTATGGATGAGGAATGGAAGTCCACGGAGGCTATGTAACACACTTCAGGTCATATTGCTAACAAGCAGTGTGTCTGAGATACAAGTCCTGATCCTGTAACATACTCATTTGACCATGAGGCCGGATAAATATGAAACCTCTTTGGGACTGCGGAAAAATACAGACCATGCAAGTTTCTAGTTCCTTGTGCTCTATGTCCCTAGCCCTAAACCTGGTGAACCTACACTATAAATAAACTATGTGACAGGGTCAGATGGGTAAAAATCTGAAAACATTTAAAGTCATCTCTGAGGAACATGCACAAAATGTCAAAGATCTAGAGAAACCCTTACGTAGAGAACACTGTAGATTTCTTGAAAGATTTGAAAGTGTTTCCCAGGAAAGGAAGACCAGAGTTGAGGTGAAGGAACTTTATGCTATACAGGAAAAGCCTTATAACTTAATCAAGCCATCCCCATAATGAGAATGTTGTCTTGGACCTTATCAAAGTTCCCCTAGCAGAGATTAGCGGACAAACAGGAATCCAATATGGACAGGGGTTGGTTGCCTACATTGCCATCAAGTTCCCTTTCACAAAAGTATGTGTCAAAACCCAACGCTGCTTAACTCCTCATTTGATTTTCACAGTAAAACATCTTCAGGATGAGATTACAATTCTGGAATGATGCTCTATAGGGGACTTCCTAGTCCGTCTCAGGGGACATTGAGGAAACAACCATGGGAAGGCCCATGGCTCTGCACAAGAACATTGCAATCACGTTAGTAATAGTTCTTCTCTTCACAGTGTCATCTGGGGACCCTGGGGACTGTTAGGTGGATAGGGAATAATTCCTTTCCTGTGAGTCTTGGACATGTGAAGTCTGACATCATGTTGGAGGTTTTGGGCAGGGAACAGGTGAGAGGCATTGCCTCAGACAACAGTTCTCTTGTTTCAGGACAAAATGGCGAGTGACTTTGATCTACTCTCAGATCCTTCTCCAACTCCCAGGAGACAATGCGGACACTTAAAAAAAAATCTCCCCAATTTGTATTTATTTGGGAAGAGGATTTTCTCTCTCAGGATGAGTGGTCTTGTCAAAATGATGGATGTGTTGATTCTTTTTGTCCTGCTGCATGAGGGGAGCCTATGCCTTGGCCTGGGTGACAGCTGAGGAGGCATGAGGAGGTGGTGGGCCCAGCTTGGTACAAAGTATGTAGAGATCCCCCTCTTCTCTGTCCTGGTCTGCTCTCTTTGGATCCATTTTATTAAAGAGCCCAGCCCAGTGAGGGACCTACAGAGGTACCATTGCTCCAAATTGACTTTAACATTCCAGAAATAGCCACAGATACTGTGAAATGGAGTGCTTGAAGAGAAAATATGTTACGCAATATCCCAATATACTATTTCTGGTATCTCTCTTTAGATAACCAAAATTCATCTGAGTCATAAAAACTTATACCCTGAATGGTGGTCATAGGAGAAAAAAAATCACATGGAATGATGTGATTAAGGTAAAGTCTGATGTCTTAAGGAAACAGCTACAGGAGAGAGTTAGGTAGGTTGTGTGTGTGTGTGTGTGTGTGTGTGTGTGTGTGTGTGTGTGTGTGTGCAAGGACCCAGGTTTGAAGGTTTGCACCCTCATTCTACTATATAGGACACTGCTTTTTAAATATGTTTGTGGAAATAACATTCTTCTAAGATTCACTCTTAATGTGTATAAGTGTTTTCCTGCATGTATATGCCTGGTGCCACAGAGGACAAAAGGGGGCACCAAATTCCCTGGAATTGGAGTTTCAAACAGTTGTGAGCAGCTACATGGGTGCTGGGAACCAAACTTAGGTCTCCTGCAAGAGCATCCAGTGCTTTTATCCACTAAGCCATTACACTAGCCCTTGAAGCAATGATTTTTATTTATTTTTTATTTCTTTTAATTTCCAACCTGTCACAAATTAATGTTTGTGACATTGAACTTCTTTTTTAAAAATGAAGCCTTTTAATATTCAACAAACAGAAAGATCCCATCTAATTGCTATAAAAGTATTGAAAATTGTTCTTAATTTCTGCAGTGTGGGTGCAAATGGGTAATGAGCATTTTGTGAGGTATCCTTTGGGTAGGTGGCATTGGGGAACTTCCTCAACCTTTCCTAGTTTCTTTACTTAGTCTCCTTAGTGATGGACATGTCAGCAGTGTGTATGTGTGCTATATTTTAAGGTGTCACTCAAAGTTTGAGCTATTGCTGTTCTCATTAACAACACTGGTAGTTGGAACAAATGGCAAGGGACAAAGTTAAATCTTGTTCTCCTTTGGCAACAATGGTGAGTATTATCAGAAAGCAATCAAGTTGGAACTGTTAGAGGCAACAGCTTCCCAACATGCATCACTTGGCAGGGAGGCAGAATGGCATCCCATGGTAAACTTGTGTTTGGCTATTGTAGTAGTCCACTGAGCCTTCCAGACTGTACATCTCAGTGGACAGCCATCACTACCCTTGGCAATATAGCCCCCTCACCTCAGATGGAAACATCTTCTCCCTGTCATTAGGGAGCTTGGTCAAGCAGTGTGCCTCAGGGTCATGTTGAAAAATCCCAGACATCCCTTAGGTACAGATAGTGTGGCAGTGGTCCTGGCATCCCACTGTCAGAAGCAGTGTCTGGGGTGAAGGCTCTCCCTTAGTGGAGTTAGACTGCAGACCCGAGTGGGGGAGAGAATTTTGTGCAGGCCTCCCAGAAATGCATCTGGAGGCACTTTCTGGTGAAGGATGGGAGTGGCCTCCAGATACTTCTGGCTTCCCTGCCTATCACCTGACTCCAGCACCCTGCTTCTTCCTTCTGTAGGATCGAGGGCAAATCTTTTCACTCTTCTTGCCTGCCTACCCCTGCCATCTCCTCCTGCCAGCGCTCATCTCTTCCTGCTGCGTTTAAACCATTTTCAATGTCACAGAATATTCACAAAATTAAAGGTCAGCCATATAATATGAAATATAAAATTATTCTCTCCCCATTTATCCACACCAGGGCAGGGGAGACCACCATTAATGATCACACAGGCACATTATTTCTCAAAATGGCAATGTTTAGAGAAACAACATGGCCTAGTGAACATAAGTATATGTGATACTCCTGTGTGTGTATGTCTGTGTGTGTTCATGCATGCATGCGTGTGAGCAGGCCAGGGTGTCATTCCTCAGGCAGCTCCTACTGTTCTCTGAGACAGGTTGTTACTTACTGGCTGGAACTTACCAAGTAAGTTAGGCTGGCTGGCCAGCAAGCCCCAAGGATCTGCCTATCTCTGCTTTCTCATTGCTGGGACTTCAAGTATGTAGCATCATGACTGGCTTTTTTTTTTTTTATGGACTCTGGGGATTGAACTTGGGTCCTTATACTTGCAAGGCTACTCCTTGCTCACTCATATATTTTTTTTAAATAAATATGATTACACAGTAGTCTGACAGTAGAAATATACTATTCCTCCATACCTCTTTTTTTTTGTTTTGTTTTTGGCCGGGGTGGGGAGTTCGAGACAGGGTTTCTCTGTGTAGCTCTGGCTGTCCTGGCTCTCACTCTGTAGACCAGGCTGGCCTCTAACACACAGAGATCTGCCTACCTCTGCCTCTTGAGTGCTGGGATTAAAGGCATGTGCCACCACCATCCATCTAACCTCTCTTAGTACGCAGGTTTGACATGACTTTACTCTCAAGCCTTTTTCTGTTCTTCAAAGGGAAAGAAGTGAGGCTTCACACGCTATGGTCCCCAGCCTGTCCCCCTTTTAAGCAACCCCCTTCCCATTGTTACCTTTCCAGCCTCTGCATGGTCATAGCAAGTGTCTTGTTGAGCTCATCAATCACCCTGCAGCTAGAGGGGTGCATGGGCAAGGTGCCGGTGGAGGGCGGGAGGTGCTGGCCATGGCTGCCATACTGCAGCTGGTGCTGCATCTGGGGTGGCAGGACAGTGTGGTGGTGCTGCTGGCTGCTCTTCTGGGCCGCGTAGGATGCCAGGGAGAGCTCTGGCCCCCCGACCGGCATACAGATCAGGACTTTCTTTGGAGGTAGCGGAGGCGACAGTTTCACTGGCAGACAAGGCAATTTCACAGGGGCGCCAGGATCTGTGGCAGAAGGAGGGTGAGAAGCAGATGTGAGTTGGGGAGCGTTCGATGAAATGCAGAACATCATGTGTGTGCACCTTAGTATAAAGAGACGATGATATCTTTATTCAGATAAACACCAGCCAAACACAAGCCAGAGCATGCCCACAGGCAGCAAGCTAGGGAGGCCAGAGTAAAGGGGCCCTCCACGTGTCTGTGGGCCCCTTTAGAATTGCCCCTGCGTCATCCTCCACCTCCCCTTACCACATCCTTGAGGGCGTGGCCAGGCACACCTGTAGGGGCTCGTAGGAGGCGGGGCTACAGTGTCTCCCTACACCTTAGGACCACAGCCATGGAGGTAGACCCTCTGGATACAGTGTATCAACTTAAGGCCTCAGCAAAGTGTGAACGACCTTCAGCAAACATTTACTAACTAGTTTCCTGGCCAGACTACCCTGGAACCTGGATGGGATGGGAGATGGGTCTCAGGGCCCATCAACCCAGGCTCCTCAGCAGGCCAGGTAGGATGGCATCAGGAAGGCATGTGTCATGGAAAGACGAGCTGATAAAGAAACCCTTCACAGAGCCTACCACGATGATTACACATTCACCATTGTTAAAGTAACACGGACTTCCAGTTGACAGGGTCCATCTTGCCTCCATTTACATGGGACAGAAGCCAATACTATGTTCAAGTTCCTCCCTACAAGTGACCATGCTGCCAACCTTAATTCCTTATCTGTCACCAAGAAGTTGCTTTGTGAGACTTAGTGACTGCAGAACCTGACCCAGGCACACCAAGCAGGGGTGGAGTGGGAGCATGGTTGCTGGGCTGGTGGGCCTACTCGTGACCAACTACATTGTATGGTTCAAGATGCAGGGACGGGCCTTAAGGGACTAAGGAGTTTTTCATATGTACCTCACACATACAACTGAAGGTAACTATATGATTCTCCAATAACCTTGGTCATGAACCAAAGGTTGTACATAGCAGACCACCAGAAAGTGACCCATCCCACTAGTCCCAGGCTTATAATCCGGCACTTGGAGAAAGCTGAGGGAGGAAGACTGCAAGCTGAATCCATCCTGGGCTACAGAGTAAGACCCCGTCTCAAACAAAACAGATTCAGAAAGACAAATACTGTATATCTTATCTCATATACAATGCATAGCCTTTAACTTTTATATATGCGTATGAGTCTGAATGTATGTGCATGTATGAACATGTGTGTGATTGCATAAGCATTTACGGGCATGAGTGTGTATTTGTGAATGTGCATAGTTGTGTGCATATATTTTTTGAAATAAGAAAGGAGACCATGAGAAGGGAAAACACTTTGGGGGATAGGAAGACATAACAAGGAGGGTGATACAATATGTAATATATGACATAAAGAGGAAAGGGAGGCGACTGGGAGAAGCAGGGGTGGTTAGCCAGGAGCAAGGGAACTGGGGAGGGAGTGAGAGAAAAAAGTCAACAAAAGCCAAGTCTATTTGAGCCGGGTGTTGGTGGCACACGCCTTTAATCCCAGCACTCGGGAGGCAGAGGCAGGTGCATCTCTGTGAGTTTGAGACCAGCCTGGTCTTCAAGAGCGAGTTCCAAGACAGCCTCCAAAGCCACAGAGAAACCCTGGCTAGAAAAACCAAGGGGAAAAAAAAAAAAAAAAGGAAAAGAAAAGCGAAGTCTATTTGAAAATCCTGCAGTTAAACCCATGACTATTATTCTAGTTTTTAAAAACTAACTAAAACAAACACACAAACAGAAAAACTACAGCAACCCCTGCCCTCCCAAGGGCTGGGATGTGTCTCATTGGCTCTGGATTCCACACCCAGAACAGCAACACCAAGCTGAGAACAAACCCAAAAGGAAACCCTAAAGAGCGTCACTTGTTTCATCACTGTGGCATTCAAGACAGGGTATTCTGGAGTGGAACCAAGCCCCTGGTTCTGTGACACTGTCATTAAAGCTCCCTAGACAGTCCACATTAAGAGGTGTCATGGTCAGACAAGCTCCCTGAGAGCATTCTGGGAGAGATCCTGTAGTTCTCTTGCCTAGCAGTCCCTGAATTCATCTGGCCCCGTAGGGAGGTTGGGCTGAGCTTGTCTAGGAGAGTCATATTCAGAGGGTGTGCTGTGGAGGGAGTCCTCAATTTCTCTCCAGCTGGTGTTTGTGTCCTTCCGCCTAGCTCATGCTAGGGCCCAAACAGAACTAAGCTGCCCTCAGTTTAAAACTCACTCCAGACCTCCCACAGGCTACCCGCTGCTCGGTTCACATCTTCAGTCCCACGCTTTAAGTAGTCTGCTCCGTGCCACCCCCGGGAAAGAAACCTTCCCCTGGGGTCCCCAGAAAGCCTCTGGGCCCAGTTACTTCTGTGACATATACTACTTTCCTCCAACAGCCTCCACTCACTTGGTATCCCACAAATTCAGGTCTCTGCCCTCAGCTTGCTCTGCCAAGTGGCATTTGTGCTCACTCATGATCTCATTGGAAGCCGCTGAGGCCTTCCCCAGCCTCCTCTGGGTTCTTTTCCCTCAGCACATCACATTGTCTGCTGAGGAACAGGAAATAGGAGTTTATGGCTCCCCTGCTCTCCTCTGAACCCAGTGGTCTGTCCTTCACACCCCCCACCCCCCCACACCCTGTATATACAGACCTTTTATTCCCAACTTCCTATGCCCTTGGCTGCCTGAGGTTTCCATACCCTGAGCTTTGATATATATTGTTCCTATGGTTTGGAATATTCTGTTATGTCTTCTTGGCACATTCCTATTCTGTCTTTCAGATCTAACTCACAATAAAACCTCTCCCAAACCTACTCGGCTCATTGTATTGTGCCTTCCCCACTGTACACAGAATACACTAACAATAATAGCAATAATGACAGTGACAGACATTTGAGTCAAGCTCAGATCAAGTTGCTCTTATCTGAAATGCTTGGAACCATTAATATTTCAATATAGATTGCTCCATATTTTAGAATTTGAACACATACACACATGTATTGGAGATGGGGCCCAAGTACAAACTTGAAATTCATTCACACTTCATATGGATCATGAAAATAATATTATAAATTTTTATTAAGATTTGTTTTAAAATTATGAGTGTGTCTCTGTGTGGCTATTGCATGTGCGTACAGGTGCCCTCTGACGCCAGAGGCATTGGACTCCCCCCCTGGAGTTGGAGTTCCAGGTGGTTCTGAGACACCTGATATGGGTGCAGGGAATCGAACTTGTGTTCCCTGCAAAGGCAGTATGTATACTCTTCTAATTGATGAGCCATCCCCCCCAGGCCAGTTTCAGAGATTTTAAATAACATTGTACATGAAGCAAGGTTCTCACACAAATGAACCAGCAGGCAGGATCACTCATGGTCACACATCTGCTCTGAGAATGTTGCACTTTCAAACGTTTCAGATTTTGGAGGTTTAGATGAGGAGTATTTCACCTACGCCATGCTTACTAACTATATGCCAGATACCATTGTTCTAAGAGATTTTTTTTATACAATAACCAACTTAATCACTACCTCCCGTTTATGTAACTGTCTCCCTCCAGAGAGTACCAAACAGGTTTAACTCATGGCATCTTTACCACCTTGTTCAGTGCCCTGCTTGTATGACAGGAGTAAAACATAATTTTTCACATATTTCTCGTTAGCTAAGATGACTGATACCACTTTTTAAGTTAAAAATCCTGTGTGTGTGTGTGTGTGTGTGTGTGTGTGTGTGTGTATGTGTGTGTGTGTGT